GCTCAGGTTTGGGGCTGGAGAGGAAGAATCATCCTTTCTGGCAGCTGCTTTATTACCTCCAGTCTCAGTTTTTGTCAGCATGGATGCTGATTCTCCTTACTGGAGCTGAGGAAGCTATTCATAGCTATCAAGTTTAACCCTTTTTTAGTCACGATTTTGCTTTTTCTTAATTAACTGCTAATTAACAAATCCTTTAGGGGAGAGTGGAACAAGGGGAGATATGATCATGGCTGGTCCATAAAGCAATTCAGAATTCATGAAAATATTAGTGACTTTTGTAAGTGCTCAGCTCTGCTTGCTTCATGTCAGATAGGTCCAGCTCACATCATTACTGTAAGCCATACTAGATACATACGAGCATAAGCAGGAGGCAAACAGTACTGTTAAGTTCTGTGTAAGACCAAGAGCTGGACAAAGTTCTGAGAGATCAAGTTTTGAAGCTAAGGAAATAAGCCAGTTTTGTCATGTGAAGGAGGATTAGCAAGCATGCATCAGAATTGAGCTGTGGGAGTCGGCAGGCTTCTACAGTCAGAACCATGCAGACTCTAAACTTCTGCTGAATTGAGCCTCTATAGTTAAGCAAACATTTGTATCAAATGCCTGGACTTGACCTTTGGTGAGAAGTGAATGCATTAAATCTTCTATTACATGAAACTGACTTAAGTATAAAATAGTGTGGTGATTAACCCCTTGGTTGGTTGGAAATTGTAAATACACCCAGAATCACAGAGTAGTAAACAGCAATGGAAAATAAGGTTAAAATTCCATAACCACAGAGCCACGTTTATTCTGTAGTCAGTGGCATACAACCATAGAGAATGGAAGGGGTTAATTAAGGATGTATTTAACTTTTTCAGCTCCATTGTGCTACAGGGTGATAGCATATGTTTCTAGGAGTTGGAATTTAACACCAGGCTTAAAGGGACCTGATTTAAGTTTACAACTCTAAACAAGTAAGGCTTCAATAATAGCTAATAAAACTAGGCAGAACTTTGCCTGCATCTTGGAAGTTTGGAAAGGTCGCCTTTCAAGTTGGGCCAAGCACTCTGCCAACATCAACAATCAGAGTTCCGCGAAGTGTCTTTAAAAATTAAATATCAAGTCGTGTGGCTTGGCTGCACGGATTGTTGTTTAGTTTGTAATCATTTAATTTGTACAAGTCTTTACTGTCATACATAGTGGAAAGCGTTGTGAAAACTCAAAACAGCTATCAGCTTGTCATGACTCAAAAAGTCCTGGAAGAAACTTTGTAACAGAGAGAAAAGAATGAAAACCACGTGTCAGACTCACTGGCTTTTACTGGGTGTGTGTGTGTGTGTGTGTGTGTGTGTGTATGAGAGAGACAGAGAGAGAGCTCAAAATACCTACAAATTCAGGAGCAGTTTGCTTAATGATCGATTAGGGGCTTTCTTTTACAAACATGGTGTAAATGTTCAGAAATGCAGAGGCGTGCCACAATAACGCAGCTCTACATTCTTCTGAACCCAGGCAGGATCAGATGCCTTTGGAGCAATTGCATGTTTGTTAGATACTGGCCTTTCCTTGGGGAGCCTCATGGGAGGAGCCTCTGACAGACGGCTCCAGTTTTATAGTCATTGGCCTTTTGTGTGTTTCAACTTTCAAACAGTCTTTCATTCAGAAGAGAAGCACTTTGGAAATGCAGCACCAAACTCAGATTTCTGGAATATTTCTTTGGCTGACTGGGATAAGTTTTTACTTTCAGTGGATTCAGCAATGGATATAGTTAATTGTCCCGTTGCTGTCTGACTTTGAAGTTTGGACTGAAAAGATGGAAGTTTAGAAGTTACTCTCATAAAGGAATCTGTGCTAAATTGGTGGGCGTGGTTTTACTTTGTTTTGTATTTTAGCTGAGGATGATTTGGAATGGCAGAGCTGGTTATTATTTCTTGACACTGGTAAGTGTGAATTGTTTGAGAGAGGATTATGCAACTAAGTTTATTTATGGGTTGGTTTATAAAGTAACGTTAAAAAAACATCGGGGACTAAAAATGAAAAGTAGTTTGTTTCTGTCCTGCCATGCAAACTCTTTATTGCTTTTTATAAAAGATGTCATATTTTTCTTTTTTGCTGCTTCCACGTTGTTCTTCAGTTATCTTTGAAGAGTTACATATCTACGGCATTCATATTGAATGGAATGTTGTCTTTTCATATAACTTTATACTGAGTTTTTAAAGAATCTTTAATTAGATTGGGATTAACTATCATGAAGTAGCTGAAAAGACTGGGGTTTTGTGAATATTACCATAGAATGTGCTGAATTTCTTTTAGGCTCTAGTATCAGTGTGTGTTTAGCAGTTCAGTAGAGACGACGGGTAAGTTATATTTGCACATTAAAATTTCTGGCTCAAGATTACTAGCCATAAATTGGAAATTTCAAGTCTATAAAAATTACATCACAACATGACCAAAAGTATTCTTATGCCTAAAAAAAGCTGAAATACATATGACTTTGTAATCATGGATATTCTGTCTGTAATGTAGCAAATGAATTATGCTTTTTAATCTTGTGCAATTATTTGTAACATTTCATACAGCTTCTTACTGTTAGTTAAAGATTGCACAGCAAAAACTATTTTAATCTATAATGCTATTTCAGAACATTTACTTTATAGACTTTTTAAAACAATAAGTACATACTGACTATAATATGCCACCTTAATTTTAATCATACAGTATTATAATCATTCCATACACTTAGACTTTCTCTTCTGTCTTAATGACTGTTTGTAGTTTTTTCACACTGATAGGGAAAACTGATTATGCAGGTAGGGAAAATTTAAGGGATCGCCAAAATGATATATGTATGGAAGGAAAAGTTAAGAGGGATTCCAAGCCCTAAAGTAATTTAT